TGCAGTTCTCACACACAGTAGTCAACAGTTGCATTAACATTTAAAGAAAAACACAAAGTTTCATGTCACTTAGACAAAAAACTATTATTATATCAGCTTACACTTTAAAGAAATTATTAGGTTCCACTAGATAAGATACAGAAAAAGATAGTCATGCTATTTTCATTTAGTTCAAACTACAAAAGTATATTTGTGCAAGGAAATCTGAGGAAAATATGATGTAACATTATTCTAAAATATTAGCTACTCGAAGAGTACAGTAAACATATGCCAGTTACTATAATCAGTATTGCTTTCATTTTAATTCCAAATATATATACTTTAAAAGATGAAATTTATAGAAACTATAGTTCAATTTTACCAAAATATAATTTCTAATTATTAGAAACTTTTAAAGCAAACTTTTATCATTTTATTTTTAATTTATAGAATGAAGTCATTGCATTCAATAACTGTGGAATCTAAATGCAGAAATGATTATTAGACTAAGATAACAATTACATAAATCTGTAAAGCTTTAAAAAGAGCTGGGGGATGTAGTTCAGTGCTAAAGGGCTTGCCTAGATGCAAGACTCTAAGTTGAATTCCCAGTATTGGGGGGAGATAATAATCTTTATGATTGATTGTAGTAATTATGAAGGCACAGGATCATATTCACACACATATGTATATGTGTTTGTACACATATATATTTACCTACCTCAGTTCTTATGTTTCACCATTACTTTTTATTCATTTCTAGCACAATTTGAATTTCCTCAACAACAGAATGCAATGATTACTTTTTAATTAAGAACACAGAATCTAATGAATAATATTTAGGTTGAGAGAAAACAATTCAGTTAAAAGAACCTTATTAAATAAACTCCGTAGAAAATATTTTAAGAGTGAGTATATCAGGAGTTTATTTTTCTGGAAAGGGCTGAATCTTAGTTAACTCTTAATTCTATATTGATTCAATATTTATAACATTTCTTAATGTTATGTCAGTTTTACTTATTAAGAAAAAAATTTTTTTAGCGTTTCATGACTTGAGAAAATATATAATAGTTTAAGTTGAAATTTTGGTCCCAAATACTTAGGATTATTTACACAAAACTGTTTGTTTTTTTTTTTCCAAAACACAGAAATCACATTATTAGCCAGGCATCTTGTGCACGTCTGTAAAGGCAGGAAGATTGCCACAAGTTCAAGGCCATCTGGGCTACACAGTGAGTACAAGGCCAGCCGGCACTATATAGCAAGATCCCACCTCAAAACAGAGAGAGAAAAAAATCACATTATTTTTCCTTATAAGCTCTGTTCCTGACATAAAAAAGGGTAATAATCAGCAATGATTAAAGAAAAAAAGCCCTATTTTAACAATGCAACTATTAAAATTTTTTTCTTGGCATCTGCTTATTTCTCCAAAGAAATTTAATAGTATCTGCTCACAACATATAGTTGAGATAAGCAAAAAAGATTTTCAGTTACCCTGAAGCCTCCTCCAATGTAAGGAAAGTAGAAAACAACATACCAAGTATCACTATGTAGAGCATAAATTCATTTGGATTAAAAGTATGCATACACATAGAAGACAATCTGGAAGAATATAGGGCTCCCTCTAGGTGAACTATAGGTATTTTTTTGTTGTTGTTAGTCCATTTTCGGAAATAAGTATTAGTACTTTAGTAATTTTGAAAAAGGAATTTACAATGAAAAACCTCCACTATACCTCACCTTATTCTCAACTATTTTTTAGACAAAAGTAGAAGAGAAAATACCCAAGGGACACTATATATTCATTCTAAGAAAATTTATGTGTTTCACACATTACATGAAAATACTTTGCTAGGTGCGGTGGCACACACCTGTAATCCCAGCACTCTGGAGGCTGAGGCAGGAGGATCGCTGTGAGTTCGAGACCAGCCTGGGCTACAGTGAGTTCCAGGTCAGTCTCAACTATATAGTGAGACACTGCCTCAAAAAAACAAAAAAGCAAAAAATTTAAAAAAAAACTTTAACTTTGCACTTTATAGGTGGTCCTCACATACAGAGCTATTATGTAAAATGTAGAAACCATGTAATACAAAAACAAGAAAACAACCTTTAGGGATCACATTTTAGCTAAGGTTTTATCTTGTGGTAACGTGAACACGTATAAACCAATTTTCTGTAGCAAAAAGATAAAACTGGAGATTTTTATTTGGAAACTACTCATCTGTAGGCTTCTATGGCTAAAAATGCTTCCAGATTACTAAATTATTTCCCTATGCAACTTCTGTCTAAAGATTCTACACTTTTGCTTTATTCAGTAAGAATTAAATGCCAGGTACTTTCCAGGCTTTGTGCTAGGTACTGATAATGTGAGGGAACAGTCTGAAAACAAATAAGCAATTACTACACTAAATAATTCTAAGTAGTGTAAAAATACCTCTGCTGAGTGTCTGGCAGAGGCCTGTAACAGTGAAGCTTCAGAGAAGACTTTTCACTCTTTTAAACTGAGACCTGATGATTAAGGAACTGATCAACTGGGTGAATTTTGTGGAGTGTTCAAATCATCTGAAGAAATGTACTATTCCGGACACAGCCTCAAGCTCATTCTGGCTGGTGGGGAGGTATCAAGATTGCAAACCATGTGCAGTAGCGTGTATGTAACCCAGAAGTTCATGTGCTTGAAACTTAATCCTCAAATTCAGTTAGCAGTATTTGGAGATGGGGACTTCGGAAAGGAATAAGGACTAGATGAGGTCATGGTTAGTCCACCATGATGGTACCAAAAGCTTAGAAGAGGAAGACGAGACCTGAGCTAACACATGCATTCTGCCATATTACAATGTAGCAAGAAGTCTGTCACTAGATGCCAGCACCATGTCCTTGAGCTTCTCAGCCTCAAGAACCATAAAAAATAAATTTTTCCCTAAAAATATCTGATAAGACACCATACTTTTTCAACTCTCTCCTGAAGCCTTCAAGGAATGCCACGACCTTGCAGATTATTTTGAGACAGCATGGGCAGAGTGGGTTGTAGAGATGCAAGACCAGGGCCACAGACCAGGCCAAAAGCTAGAGTACTGCAGTTAATGTGAGAAGAGATAGAAAGACAGGGATGACATTTAGAGATTGCATCAACAGGATTAAACAGACAATTCAAAGGTGGTTCAGAAGTTTGCAGCTCGACAGTCACTGATATTAAGGCTATTCCATGGTAACGAAAACCCAGGATGCAGGAGAACCTTTATTTGTGTGGGTTGGAGGGACAAATATGAAGGGAAGTGAAAGTGTAGAATGAGGTTAATTTTGTGTTTATGTGCATGCTCAATACCAGGGATCAAATGCAAGGCCTTTGTACTGAGCTACATCCCCTGGGCTCTTTAATTTTTTGAAACTTGGTTTCAGGCTGGGATTGAACTTGGGACCCTCCTGCCTCAGCCTCCCAACGTGCTGAGATTACAAACATATACCACCATGAGATATACTTAAGATGTGTTCAAGACTTTTAAAAATGTGTACAAGATGCCCCAATGGATGCTTTCAGACAACAGAATATATAATTTTAGAATTCTTAGGGCAAAATATATATAGTACTAAATGATGAATGTACAATTTAATGTTTTCTCAATCTTCTAAAAATCCGCATGTACTTGGTAAAAATTTTCACTTGAAGTATCTTACAAGACTTGAGATCTTTAACTGTAAACAAAACTTATTTAGTAAAGGACTGAAAAGTGATTGGGTTTCTCCCCTTTGTTGACTTTTGTTATTACTGTTTTTGAGACAAGGTCTCTCACTCTATAGTTCAGGCTGACCTTGAACTCCTGTTGATCCTCTGGCCTTAGCCTCCTAAATGCTGGCATATACTGCCATACCTGGCTCTTAGTTTATTACCTAGTCTAAGTGGGGAAGAAAGAATCTAGACTATTACGTGGAAAGGTTAGGCATCTCTCAAGCCCCCCATGAGCTTTGGAACTTGGCTGAGAGGCATCAGCCCCGTTGTGTCCTGAGGTCACTGAAGATATGCTGCAGCTGTACAGAGGGATAAGTGAGTGTCCTGCAGGGTAAGAGATGTCAAGCACATCACCACTCACCTAATTAATTTCATCCAAGGGACTAATGTAGATTTTTGTTAAAAGACAAAAAAGGAAGCAAAAAGAAATGGATGGTCTTTACTCAAGAGTCTATGAAGGTAGGTTTTTTTGTTTTTTCTCAATAGCGGGGATCAAACTCAGGACCTTATGCTTGCCAGGCAGGTGCAACACCACTGAGGTACATCCCCGTCCCTTGGAAGGTGGAGCTTAACCCTAATCCAAGCTCCAAGTTGCAGGGTTGGTTGATAAATTGCCACAGAGTATCTACAGAAGCAAGTGATTCTGGTGACTCAGTGCAGTATCACTGCACTCTTTCCCTAAAAAATACTTTGGATCACACCTTCCTAGAGCTTTTGTTGAAATTCAGTGTCAACAACAGTACCAGCAAGATCTAAGATATTAAAATAATAGTAATAAAAATAAACAATCCTGTCTTGCATCTGAATGAAAATGAAGAATTAAGTTTAAGAATCAACACCAGTTCCAGTGCATTCAGGGGCTGAATCTTTACCTGGACTCCTAGCATTTCTCATCTGAAAACTTCTTAGGCAGTTGGGGTGTAACAGTGGTAGAATACTTGTCTAGTATCCCTATCCCTGGGTTTGAGCCATAGCACTGCAAAAACAAACACCAACAGCAAACTTCTTACTTCAGGGATAATAATTCTGTACAATAAAGAAATAATGCATAACAAGTTTTGCTAATAAAAATCTACTGGCAGCTGTGAGATTGTTCTTGTATGGCATTACTGGTAAACAGCAGCTTTCTGTTTTATAACATTTTAGTCTGTAAAGAAAAATAGCCTGGTATATACTGTTTTATTTGTAGTTGTACTTTATTGAACTTTGATTTAGAAGATGTTAAATCAATACTTTGATCCAGAGAAAATTATTAAGATGATAATATTCAAATATTGTTACATACAGCACTAGAAAATGTACTCAGGAGAGTAGATATATATTATGTAGTATCTACTTTTATTGTTATAGTTGACCCTATTACTCATAAAGCTATATAACAAATTAGAAATACACAGTGTTTAAGAATGAGCTTTTCTACACTCTTGTTACAGAATTATAAAGGAAGAACAGTGTGTTGCAAAAGATTTTGACAATTTTCAAGGTTAGAAATTAAGAGAGAAAGAATATAGGAGTAAATATCTACCAATATGCAATATTTTCTATCTGAAGTCATCAGAAAATAAAAGATGAAAGAGAAGTAGTGTAGCCAACAGGTCACTCACTCTAGGTGCTAGCTGTCTGATTTTTTTTTTTTTTTTAACCAACAAAGGCAACTGATATCATTATCTCCCTTTTAAATAGGAAGGTATGTGGAAATAAAATGAAATAGTCTTGCTTTTTCAGACTCCTTGACTAATTTAGCTACCTTAAATGATTTCTACTACCAGCATTCAATAGCTAATAATCATCACTCCAATTAATTACCCATTGGTTATATAAAAACTGAAAAATACAGAAATGATTTAAGTGAGAAAACAACTATTTCAAAGGCCAGAAGTAGAGCATTAAATCCATGCTAGTGACATATACCAAGTATGCTTGGAGGCACTGGGATGTAATTCCTTGGTAACCCTTAGAGTTTAGTACTGATATCTATGACTTCCCAACGTGAATATACTTATATTCAAATTCTCACATTTCAGGACTCATGTAAATAATTAGTGCCGATCATCTTTGAGATTACTGTAAAAAATTTGAGGTTACTGTCAAAAATTATTTAGAAAGCCATCTTATTAACACTTGCTTCCCAACTTTTAACCTTTAATCCAATCATAATCATTACACAAAATCCACTCGTGTTATCCCTTAGTAGATGCAAATTACTTGATTATAACCTTCTATTATCTCAATAAACTCTCTGTCCCTATACTTACAAAGTTAGCAAAGTACAGAAAAACCTAAGGTAAAAAAGCTAAAAGGGGGCTGATGATTTAGCTCATAAGAGCAAGGTCCTAAGTTTGATCCCCAGTACAAAAAAGTGGGGGGCTACCTTGAGTAGTTTAGCCATTTTGTATACTGCTTAGCAGCACCAAACAAATGAACTACAAATAGCAAATGTCCCAAACTAGGTCAACACAAAGCCCAAACACTTTGCAAACACACGATTTAGCTTTTTCTAGGTATCAAGACTTCTCTAATTAAAATGCAGTAGGACAAGAACAGCTTAATAGAAAAAGAAATATTTAACAATATATTTACATCTTTTTTCCAAGAATCTTAAAATCACCTAATACTAATCACAATTCCATAACTGATAGAGGTAGGTACTAAGGAAAACTGCAAAGGCCAAGAAAAGAAATTTGGAGTGAATAATCTACTGAATAATCTTTGTGAGTTAAAGATTGCTTTCTTATATAGATGAGTCTATCAAATGGAGTATTACCTTGCCTTCAACAAACCTAAATTTAAGCAAAAAAATTCAGTGTTAAAAGGATAATACTTTTTTTACTTTGTTTCGTATTTATTTGTACTTTTTTACTGATGTTTGGTACACTGAAATTTGGTTTTTAAGGATACTTTTTAGCCAATGATATGACACAGTATTAATACCGTAAAATGAAAAATTATACAGTGTTTCAGATATTTTATTCTGTATATATTATCTTAAATATCAGAAGACTAGAGTAACAATGTAACAATCATTTTTCTTATCTTCCATCTGAGGATAAGGGTTTATGATAAACCATGCATACCATCTTTCCTGTGATCAGTTAAATATAAGGGACACCTGGGGAAGGTGCAATCTAGTCATGAAATCATTTTGTGCATGCATTAAGTTAGCATCATACTCCCATCCTAAGTTTCATTAGCACCATACTCCAACCAAGTTAACTCATGAAAAGTGTTAAATAAGACAGTGATAACTAAAGGAATAGAAACAAAGAAAGGCTGTATTTCATCATGTTAAGATTTCACAGAAATGGTGCAAGTTTACAATTAAAATTCTCACATTTTGAAAAATAACTTCTTAAATAATTCACCTCTCAAATCACAAATGTAGTAATCTGGAATTACTCTAAAGACTTAATAACCAATTACTACAATTGATACTCTCTGTGAGGAATATATAGCTATATAAAATATAGCTATGCAAAAAAAGAATTCAGTGAAAGATAACATTTTTAAAACATTTTTACAGCAAGAAATATGCTGGAGATTCATATCAGTAGTTACTAACTACATAAATACTAAAGATTTGTATTTTTTAGGAATACTGTGCTGAAGAGAAATTTGATTTTATCTTCCCTTAGAGGCTTGTCAGAGATTTATTAAAGATAAGATGATGTTATGAACCACTAGTAGTGGTATTAAACCCCAATCACTTTTAAGACAGGTAAGATTTAGAGCTATTAAGACTTTACAGAATTAGGTTCATGGATATTACAAATGGTATTTCAAAAAAAGACACGCACAAAAATAATCACATACAGTCAGCTGGCATTTCATACTAACCACTGGAGGAGGTAGTAATGCAGTGTTGGAATTTAAAATACAAGGTCAGCATTAACTGTAAACAATTCTAAAGCACTGTAACTCTTTAAAACATATGTAGTGAAAAAGGATTAGAATTCATATAAAAATCAGAAACAAAAAAAGCAAAAAATATTTAGTGAATTTAGTTTAAATGAAAGGTCAAATGAAGTTTAAATGATACAGAAATGAAAAATATTGGAAATCTATACACACAAAAAAAGTGAATATAAATTAGCCAAGTCCATGGACATTTCCAGTTAAACACTAATACAAATACATATTCACCTTTTTCTTTAGCAGTAATACATACATGACATGAAAATTCTGGCAAAAAAATCAGATATTAACAATATTCTCACATTTCAAAAATGGTATGAAATATGTTTTAACAAAAAACTTTCTGCATGAATGTAAACCCCTGATTTAATTCCATGATTTTATTATGCCAGAAGCATGTTGGTTTTAATTTTTTAAAAATAAGATATTGGTATCATAACATATTGGCTTAATAATTAAGGCATTTTGTATACACAATATCTTAGTGTATACAAAGTTTTAAGACTGATTATTTAATATGATGTTTTAAACTTTGAAAGTCTCTTCAACATAGGAAAATAGCTGCACACATTTAGGTGTTTTTCGTTTTTTTAATAAAACACACACAAAAAAATCTATGATTGATCTCTGTGGTTTCTAGAAATGTCTTGTCTTATTTTTTCACATAGAATAAATTATATTCTAATGCCGGATTGCATTAAGACCCAGTAGTTCTTAAACAATGTTACTAAATAACCATAAGTCCCAATGCAGCAAAGACGAACAATCTTCATAGTGCACTTTCACCTCACTAAAGTTGAAGCTGCTCCTTTTGGATATTTTTCCACTTCAATGTGAAGTAGATTGTTAGGGTTTCTTTAGTGGTTTCATTATGTGGATTTTTAGAATAAAAGGATGGTTTTGATTTCTTCCACAGTTCAGAGTTGCAAATCACAGAGTCCAGGGATGTTTTAAATAACCAACTGTTCTTTAGTAGAGGAAATCTCTCAATGCAACTGCAATAAATAAGCATCTACATCCTTAGAAGATAAAGCAAAAAACATTTAATTAGCCAGTATAGCAAATACAAACACATGTAATATATTCATTTTCTTTTCTCCTTTTTGTTGCTTGATTTGCCTTAGGTTCCCTATGCAACAATAAGAAGGTAAAAAACAAGTTTTACTCAACCTTTGTTTGCTTTGGTACATGGGATCAAAGTCAGGACCTTGTACTCACGAAGCAGGCGGCAGTATCACTGAGCCAAATCCCTAGCCCTACTCAATCTTTTTAAAAATCTGCTTTTGTTTAGCAAAGGAACTGACACATTAAACATATTTAATAAATGTAAGCTAAATGAGTGAATCTTTTGGTTCCTGTGCTCAAACAACTCTACTACCTAGTTAAAATTCATAGGAATTCCACCAGTGCTACATAAACTCAAGGCTAGCTTAGTGAAAGACTCTCTGATTTCTACCCTCAAACATTTACAATTTAACTGAGGGTTTAATTTTGTAACAGAGGTTTTATTATAGGTGTAGGGAACTTCACATTGAACTTTTACTCACTCAACAGTCTTCAATAATAAAGTCCTGTTTGTAATAAAGATCCTTTCTATAAAAATTTAAAATTGAAAGCATATTTCTTTTTTTCAGAAACATTGTTTCTGAGGAAACAATCACTTCTCAGTTTCTATCCAGAATACAAGGCCTGTCCCTCTAATGCTAATATGTTATGCATATCTAAAAGACTGAAACAGAAACTTCCAGGAAAATGATGTTTATGAGATTCTCATTGTTAATAATTCTGCACAGTAAAATCACAGAGCGGTAACACTGTACTTGATGGCATTATTTAAATAAAATTAAAATAAAAACTTTACAAGTCCATGACATAAGTCCTTATTCAGAATATTTTTTCTTAAACCAAAGAACATTTTTATATTTGGGGCTAATGTTCACTTATACCAGTATGCCCAGTAATGGAATGGAAATATTTTGTTTGTTTTTAGAGACAGTGTTTCATTACATAGTTCAGGCTGACCTCACTATGTAGACCAGACTGGCCTCGAACTTGCAGCGATCCTCTTGCACCCCAGGGCTCAAATTACAGGTGTGTGCACACTTGGCTCTTTGAGGGAAAGGTTTTTTCTTTTTTCTTTGTTGTGCTTGCTAGCAGGTGCTGCACCACTAAGCTGCATCCCCAGGCTGGAACTATTTTTAATTTTGTTGTTGTTTTTGTTAAGTAGTCCAGGCTGATCTCAAACGCATAGAGATCCCCCTGCCTCAGCCTCCCAAGGTGAGGGCATGGTGGTGTATGCCTGTAATCTCAGCACTCTGGAGGCCCAAGCAGGAGGATTACGAGTTCGAGGCAAGGTTGGGCTACACAGTGAGTTCAAAGCTAGCTAGAACTACATAACAAGACCCTGTCTCAAAAAACCAAGTACTACAATCCAAACTAGCAGTGTACCTTTTCCTTTAAGAAACAAATCAATAAAGAGCAATGTTAAACTTATTGTTATTTTAAAAGTTCTTTTTCAAAAAGCTTACCATTAGCAAGACAAAAAAGTAAACATTAATACTCCAAACCATTTGCTTATACTCTGTCTCTTGTTTCCTGAGCTTGTCACTGACTTTTCTGATGTCTCATCTGGATTCTTAACTTTTAAAAAATATTTTTCTCTAATTGGAAGTAGGTCATTATTCTCTAGCAGAATATTTCTGTGGCTGTATGTGAAACACTCAACGGCTAATTCCAGCTTCCTGCCTAGAACACATTCATACCCAGGAGACTAAGCACTTACAAAAATGAAACTACCTTTAGCCCTTATTTCCTTGTACGGGGGGAACTGATCCCAAGAGATTTCTGTTTTTCTGAGACAAGGTCTTGCTAAGTTGTGCAGGCTGGCTTTAACCTGAGATCCTCCTGCCTCAACTTCCCAGAATTCTCAGATTACAGGTGTGTGCTATCATGTCGGCCTGCCTATAGACTTTCTTAGAACAGTATCAAATTATTTTGCCTAGAGACATGTAGAGTTTATTTATAAATGTACAATATTATTATTATTTCTAATTTTTAATTCCTAACTTAAGCTTAAATATAATTACCTTAGCTATATTACCAGTATATCCTGGAACCAAAGTAAGATGGTTTTCCTGTTCCCACAATCTACTTAATTGTTGTTTTAAAATCTGAATATTTCTAGGAAGAAAAAAAAAGATAAAAAAATAAGAAAACAGTAGGATATAGACTTTGGTACTAACTAAATACAGTTAATGAAAACAGCTTTAAATTTTTCAAATTTTTATCAGAAGAGAACTACATACTATTTAAAGTCAAGCAAGTGTTTGAAATAGTACATGTCAATCATGGAAACTCAAGGTTATTTAGCTGTCAAAGAAGCTAAGAAAACTAGGCACTTGGACAACCTGTTCTTGGCTATGAAGTGGGAAACTGAGAGCTCAGAAAGAATTACAGACTTTAAAGAGGCTGCTGAGAGATATTTTCTTTGTGGCTTCATGAAAATATGGCTCATTTGATAGAATACCCACCATTTATATCTACTCAATATTCAAATTATGATTATAATTTAATTTTTAGAATTGTATAGCACGGGACTCTTAGGTTAAGGTCCTAGATAGCCAAAGGACACTGCAGGATGCTTTAACAACTTATTCCATGAAGAGCATTTCTTTCCTTCTCCCTCACTCATACAACAGAAATGAGACTAACTACTGTTGCGATTTTTTTCTAAAATGAAGGGTACTGTTTTACTAGAAGAGATACAAGGGGTTCCTGGGCTCTTCAATTCAACTTCTATGTGATTCTCACAAATGAACAGTATCACAACTTAATACTTCTCTGAATATGAAGTGCCTAAATAATATACACTGACGATCAAGGAATAAAATTACCACCTTTTTATTAAAGCTGCTTTTCTGAAAAAAATTCAGTACACATTTACCTTTGAAAGTATACTTACTTATCATTTATAACTTCTGTTTTGGATGATAGCTCTGACCACCATCTTTTTATTACTGCTTGAAGCCAGTTTAAACCAACTATTACATATCTGAAATGACATTTTGTTACAAAATTCCAAGTGTCATCCTTTAAGAAGCCTTTACAAAGATGATCCTCCCCAACACCCCCCCACAAAATACACAATTTTTCTCTAAAATAATTTCACTAGTTTCATGATCTATTTCACAGCTATACTTTATGTACTTGCTTGTAAATGCTTCTGTAATTGCTCTCTAGCAATTTCATATTCCTTTTCTAATCATACTATAAGCTCCTTAAAAACAGAATCACATGTATCTCAGAGCCTGATTTAGTACATATATATATATGCACAAAGCACAAAATCAAAATGCTGGAGAAAAATGAATTGAAATTTAGATTAACACTTACTCTTCAAATTTGCTTTTAAGTAATGACTTTACAAGAGGCAATAAATCTACACAGCAGCCAAGTGAGATAAATTGTTTTTCTTCCTGTAAACTAAAAGAAATACTAAGTTATAAAAAATATAAAAGGCTGTAATTTGTCTCTCATTAAGCTTACTTTTTTTCAGAAAAATGCAGTTTTTTACCTATTGGTGAGCACAGGAAGGCAATCTACCACAACTCCAAGGTCTTCTATCCTGTGGATACAAGGAAAATAGCATACCTTAGACTGCTGATTTATTTCCTGCCTGCCTTCCTTCCTTGCTTTCCCCTTCCTTTCTTAATTTTTCAGGACTAGGGATTGACCCAAAAGGGCTTTTGCAACAAGCTCTTGCTTTTGAGAAATTCATTATTTAATAAGTAATTTCAGTGTCTACAATAAGGTACTGGGAATACGGTAGGAAACAGGCTTGCATTCTAGCACGTGTGTAAGAGGTGGAGGCTGGTAAAAAACAGACAATAAACCAGTAAAAAATATAGAGTAGGTTGATAATGATAATACTATACAGAAAATAAAACAACGAAGGGAGATAAAGAGTGAAGAATTAAGGAGTGTCATTTTATTTCAAGTAATGTGGACATGGAAGGGCTCACTAATGCAGCTTTTAAGAGACTTGAAAGGTATACTTAAAATTCCCATGCAAAAAGGGAATTTTTAAAAGGTTAAGTTTTCTCACATGAGTATCACTTTGTTTAATAGAATAGAAAAGTAATCAGAAAAAGTAATGGCTTTGCTCAATCTGATAAACAGATGGTTTCCTGTACTCTGGTTACTCTTAGATTGGTGAGGAATGTAATTTAAACCATACTGTTGTCTCTATGGAAGCTACACATAGGAAGTTAATTTTTTAGCTACTAAAAACATACAACAGATACTTTTAATATCACAATGAAAATTATTTTATTGAATAAGGAACGTAAAAAGTCACTCTTACCTCACTAAATAAGCTACAAGTTCACTTATACTTCTCTTTCTCCAGAAAGTTAAAGCTACATTCAGTCTCAAATTCCTGCTGAACAAAACTTGGGCCATTGTTTCATGGTCCTGAGAAACCTGAAAGGCAATAAGCTAATTTGATAAAAAGCACTCTGAAACATGATATGAAGCTATTTTTTTCAATGAAAATAGTCTGACATAGTTTTAAATCATGCAAATGTGATGCATAACACTGGCTTTCAAAAGGAACACTGCAGTTGAACATAATAAAAAAATGATGTGAATTTAAGATCTGTTTTTTTCCTTTCCTGCTACAATTTTTAAAAATCCCAATAATTTATAAAATAAATTTTTAGCTGACACACTCATCTAGCGTTTCATTTGTAAGTATGGATACAAGGAAAAGGTAAACATATAAGCTAGTCATTACCAACTGAATGGCATGACAAAGGTACCACAAAACTCAGTTCTGCAACAAGTATTGCTGTGTCATTTATGTGTATGTTTTTATATAAAGTATCATACTCCAGTTATAAAACAGGACTACAGAGGTATGAATTGGTTCTGGGAGGTATAACAAGTACAAAAATTATTTTGGCTGGAAAGGGTAGTGAGTCAGGAGGAAATTAACTGACAAGTTCTTGCAAGTCAAGTATCAAACAAATAATGGATACCAGCACAAAGTTTTCATGTCAAAATGTAGTGAATACTAAATTTCAAGAGTTTCAAAGCATTGAAATACCCAGGTATGACTATATACAGTAAGATAAAAAGTGAATGTACTCTACTGGCCCATAAAAATATCCACTATCCCTTGCTCAAGAAGTAACCACAGTTAAGAGACTTGCATGTATCTTTCCAAACCATTTCCTAGAAAAACAGGTATGTAGTAACACTTAGAAAAATGTTAAATTATCCATATTTTTAAAAACTCTGCTTTTTCACCTATAAACAGTTTTCAAAGTCAAAATAGATCAACCTCATTTTTAAAAACCACTATATAAGGGGGGAGGATTTAACTCAGCGGTTCGGTGGCCTGCCTCGCAAGCACAAGGACCCGAGTTCAATCCCTGGTACCAAAAAAAAAAATAATAATAATAATAAAAAAATAAACACCACTATATATACTCTTGTCTTCATATAACTTGTGTAGACTGATTCTTGGTTATCTGAGTCTATTATCTATTAAAACTATGTGTCAGTAAACAACCTGATGTATGTATATAAAATATGCACACTTGTACAGACATTTCTGTTAGTATCAATTTTACTAAATTAGAGCAGTTAGGTTTGTGTGAATATGCCTTTAGTGATCCTAATTGTAGGTAAGATTTCTCCTTTCCCAAAAAGTCATTTAAATCTCTACTGGCCAAACTGTCATTGTGAGTGTTTATAGCAGCCTATCAAGCATTTCACTCTATCTTAAGATATTCTAACTTAAGAGAAATGAGACAAATTACTGACTCATACTTGGGTGTTTCAAGAAGTTACTATCACTCAAATAAGTGTATTCAATGGGTGATGATTCTACTAGAATAAGACAAAGAAAAGAGTAATAGCATAACAGAGATAAAGTTAAACTAAAAATGACTTAACAGAACAACCTACCTCAGAGAAAAACCCACTATACTTTGATGACGGGCTTTCTGTCTGTGAAGAACCAGAGTCACTGGAGTTAACCACATATGTCCGACTACCATGGTGTAACTTCTCTGGCAGGTGGCCTGCACAAGCCAGCTCATTTTCTTTATTTGCCATGTCACAGCCCCCACTTCTAGGGGACAGTTTTTTTTTGTAACAAGGATTTGGAAAGGGATGATGAACTTTCTTTCTGTGATAGATCACCTTATGTAGGATATCTGGGCTTTTCACCACTTGTCCAACTGTTCTGTAAAAAGAATTTTCTTAAGTGAAAAAAAAAGAAAAAAATCTTTAAAAGTTTTTAAACAGTTTTAATATGCCACATTTTCTAATTGTATATCCACTAAAATTAGAAATAAGTAGAATAATAAAAAGTTAACTCTTGAGGAAAATAAAATTATAAATTATCTAGAAAGCTATGAAAAGAATGAACTTTTCTATGAAAAATAAGAAAATTACAAATTTGTACATATCTAATCTTTTTGTAAATGAAATAACAAACTGCAAACTGACTATTTTAAAGTTTACTGTAATTAATTTTAAATGTGAAAGAACAAAACAGCAAATCTTATAGAATTAGTGATTTTCAAATGTTTTGGTGTCAGGATGCTTTCTTTACATTCTTTAAAATCTGAACAGAGAATTTTTTTGTGATCAATATCTACTGATGTTTCTGTATCAGAAACTAAAGTAAATTTTAAAGTATTTGTTAATTCTTTTAAAAAATAACATTCATTACATGTTGTTATACTTAGTATCTGACCTGTCCTAAGAAGGCCACATTAAGGGCTTGTCAGCCTGTGGTACTACTGGGTGGTAGAACTTTTAGTAGTGGGACCTAGTTGAAGGAAAGTTAAGTCACTGGGGTGTACTCTCAAAGGGGCTAATCAGCCCAATCCCTGGTTCCATTTTCTCTTCTTTAACCAACAGCTACAAGGTGACCAGTTTCGTTTTCCACCATGGCGTACAGCCACGGGGCCAAAGGCAAGAAGGTAAGAGATCATGGACTGAAATCTCTGAAACCATGTTCCAACATAAACTTTCTCCTTTAAAAGTTATTTTTCTTAGGTAGTTTGTCACAGTGAAGGAAAGTGAATTAACATACATACTAACATATCATATTTTACCCCCTAAAAAGCATTTTCCTTAACAATCAAAAAAAGAGAATAGCCAGGCATGGTGGTGCATGCTTGTAATCCCAGAACATGGGAAGCTAAGGCAGGAGGATCACCACAAGTTCAAGGCCAGCCTGGGCTACATAGTGAGTTCAAGACCAGTATGAACTGCACAGCAAGACCCTGTCTCAAAAGAGAGAGAAGGGGAGGGGTGGGTGAGGGAGGGAGGGAGAGAGAATAGCTGTATTTTAATTTTTGCAAATCTCTAATACTTGGTTTAACAAAAGACAGCTGGTATCCCATTTCTGCTTCTGAATTTAGTCTCATATGATCTCAAACGTTATGTCACCTCTGGAAAACTACTGTACACTTGCAGGAGAGAAGATCTTACCTATTTATGTAAGCAGCCAACTGTTTGGGAGATGTCTTAACCTGAATAATGAAAGTAAATGGTTGTAGCATTAAGTTCATAATAGAGTTATGTAAACTTTATGATTGATGTCAATAAATATAAAATTTAACAAGTACGTTTTTCAGATGAAAGTTTTCTTTATCCTAATGCCATGATATCAATCATAAAGCACAACATTACATGCAGACATTTTTGGCAAAGCAACATATCCATCTCCCTATTTTTCACACTACTAGTCATATATTACAAGGTACTTAATTGAGTTGAAGTATTAATATGGTTTAAAAGAAATATCAATGCTAATGATTTTTACAATGGTAAATAAAAAAACCTGAGCTTCATCTTAAAGGAAAATATTCAAATTATAGCATGTCAGAACAGTATACTTGTCAAAAAGGTTTTACAGCTTTAAGAGAATGATTACATTTCATTAATTATATTTAATTCTAAGAGATTAAGCAGAATTATTATCCTCCCACTGTTTAAACAATGTAACTAGAATTATCAAAAGACCCATCAGTTTAAATTATTTTACCCATTACTTAGACACCATGGACTTACCTCCTTCATGTTCTTATTAGTGAAAGTAGAGATCCTTTTTCTAGGAAGATCAGTGAAATGATCCTCAATATTATTACAAAAGTTCCGTTTTTTAACATTGTGATTTTCAGATGCCATAATCTCTCTAACTACCTAGACAAAGTAAGAATAATACAGAAAGCAAAAGAATCTGATCATTTCTGTAACACATATATAAACATGCATAAAAAGCTCCACTCTGTGTCAAAGAGGCTTATAAGTAAAGTAGAAGATACAGTTGTATTTTACACATCATAAAAAACTTAAACACAGTGGAAGAACGAGGGCAGGATATTCCAAGAAAGTATATTCTCATCCTTTGATCACAACAGTTACAATAATATAGTATGTTTGTTAATAGATCAGTCTCCCCATTTTCTACATTACTATCCACTTTGTAAAATTTTATTGGTATATTTTAGGTATATAACTTAATGACATTCATCATTGGAAATTTGTATTTCATCATTATTCACTTTAATGAAATCAGAAATCAGATCTATAGAGTAGTGGCATCTGTGATATACAAATGTACAGAAGCCTAAAAATTTTGGAACATGACTAGTTTAAAGAAAACAAAGTAAAACCAAAAAACCATAAATAGAGGTGCGGGGGCAGAGCAGGAGCCAGGATGAAGGACCCTGGCGGCTTCCTGGGGCCCATGGCCAAGAACTACAGCAAAGAGCAGTCAGTGTCTGGGTGCTGAAAGAGCATTTCAGAATGGACAGATCCCACTCTGCAGAGTCCAGAAAGTTCTGGCTGCCAGGCTCAAACTAAAGGAGTTCCAGCTGCAGGTGTAATTCTTGAGGCACTGGGGCCACCTGCCTTCCATCAAAGCCTGCACTGAGGAGGCAGCATCTACAGGGTCTGCACCCCTAGTTGTGCCCCGCCAAGTCTTCCTCTTCTCCAGAACCCACACCTGCCCTGCTCCTGCCCTGTACACAAGGGACCCAGGCCCAGGCCTGGGTTTGAGGGCATGGGCTCGGAGCTGTGGGGAAGCATTGCCAGCCCCAGACACCCAGGACATCTTCGGATGCTGTCTCCATCAGGACCCCGGAATTCCAGGAGGGGCAACCCCTAAGGACCAGAAGTCAGGCTCAGGTAGGGTGGGCTCCAACTCGTGATCCTCCCCAGCCTCCCTCAGTGCAGGGATTACAGTTTTGTGCCATTCGTCCAGCTGCTTTTTCACTATTATTTTGATATGAAGTCTTGCCAGAATGCCTGAACCGCTCAAATATGCAATCCTTCTTGGCTTCCCAGAGTTGCTGGGCTCCCCAACCTATATCACCATGACAAGCTTATGTTTATTTTGAAAGAGGGCCTCACTAAATTGTCTAGGCTGGCCTTGAATTTGGAATTCTCTTGTCCAGCCTGCTTCAGCCTCTCAAGTAGCTAGGATCACAGGCATGTGCCACCTACCCCCATTCGGTTTTCCTTATGCTTCTTTTTTTGGAGACAGAGTCTCACTGGGTAGTTCAGGCTGGCCTTGAACTCACTATCTAGCCCAGGCTACAATTCAAGTGATTCTCCTGCCTCAGCCTCCCAGGAACTAGGATCACAGGCATGCACTACCACTCTCAGCTAATGCTTTTGGTTTTCCCTCTCGTTTAAGAAATTTTCCTCACATGGGCATGAGGGTATTCTGTAAGCTGTATATTCTGCCTGTCACAAGAAGGGTGCCCTGTAGAATGGACTGTACAGTGTGGGGTAGGGATTTCTCCTCCATGGGTTCTCAACTGAGAACCCAGTTACTCTGTCATAAATCCTAAACCCAATCCTTTAAGTTTTCCTTCACTTTTTAACAGCTTGCTCTCCAAAGCTGTCTTCTTCTTTTGAAAAAAAAAAAAAAAAATCCACTCTTTCTGTCTCTCTACTAATATCCAAAGGCAGAAGTAGTGGTGGAAGCAGATGCTGTGACTTTCAATTATATACAGAGGAAATTTATTTTAGGTCACATGCTTAACAGAGATTCCACCCTCATTCCTTCTTTATACATGTGGTAGACTGACTAATGGTCAACTTGTAATGCCCAGCTGAACTGAATCAGTGCAGTCTAGGCATGGAGGATCCACGTGAAGACTGTTATCAACAGCCATAAAAAGAGAACTAAAGGGAAAGATCTTGGCCTGTTGGTTTTCTAGGAGAAGCTTGCCGCAGATGGTTTTCCTGCATCAGAGGAGGAGCTCAGGGCCTCACTGTTGCTAGAAATGGCTGCTGTTTTCTTCAGGGGAGCTCTTATCTTCACCATGAGTATCATTTCCTGGCTCTAATATGGATTCCTCAGCTTGGTGGCACAAATCCTTCATCTCACTGGGTGTAGGTTTTTTGGCTTCCACCACTGGCCTTTGAGCTTTGAGATCCTCAATACAGACAAGCATAAGACATTGCTGTGGGCTCTGGGCCACTGGCTTAACTGAAGGAGGACATTGCCTTGGACTCTAATAAGCCTCTAGCTAGACTTGTGTGGGAAACTGCTGGGATCCAGGCCCTCAATAAGATTATAAAATAATCTTATAAGTTATGTGTCCTGTACTTAATGTATTCCCTTGCCAAATCCTGCTGACTGCAACAATACACTAAAAAGTACCTGCTACGGATGAGGCCCTGGAAGTAAAGTAGGTAATATACAAAGGTCCTACTCTAAAGAATCATTTAGAAAGTTTTTGAAAATGTATTTTAATGAAACCTAAGTTTAGAAACTTTATTTGGCAGACCTGTAAAGTGGAACCCAAAGCAACTGCATTTAAAAAAATCTCTACAGGTATTTCTGATGCACATTCCACATTCCCCCCAATACACACAGATACGTAAAACTATGCAAATAATTTTAGAGTATTGTAAGATTTCCTGCAGCTAACTCATGGGCAGCCCTTCCACATGTAGCCCTAGGTTAAAGTCTCTAGGATGGAAGACTAGAAGTAAAACTATAATTCCAATAATAACTTAAGCACTCTGACCAAGGAGCACTCAGACAATCAGCAAAGCTTAACTGAGACTTAAAGGACTGTATGTGCAGAACGGAAAAGCAGGAGACAACATGGTTTGAAAATCTCTTAAGTAGATACATGTGGCTGAAGCTTAAGCTGGGGGCCTTGCTGCAGTAGAGTGGGAAATGAGGCTAGAGAACAGGCAGAAGCTAGACCATAAAGAGTCTTGTCCACAATGTAAGCACTTATTAAAAAAAAAAACAAAAGAGGCTTTTCAGTTAAAGATGATGGACTAAATACACACAATTCTACTATCCTCCCCTTAAACTCCATTAAAATAATAGTAAAAGATTTTCAGAGGCATAAAATTCATGCAAAGAGGAGATGACAGTAACATTTTAGAAATTGTAAAGCAAAACTGATAGCTGACTTAAAGCCAAATCCTAAATCATCAATGACAAATGCTACAAAGCAGAATCCCCAAAAGATGTAGGAACTGGCAACACCAAAGACTCAAGATACAAAAGTAATCCTAAAAACAAGTTGGTTGACTATCCATTTAAGACACAGCTAATATCCCCTTCCCTATTCCAGTGAAAGAATGGAGTTTTATTCTATGGATAATGTAAATTGAGAGTTTTTTGGATGGGAAATGCTAGGCATAAATGAAGATGTGAGGAACATATATTCTAAAAGGATCAAGTGAAAGTTTACATGCTAAATTTTGAGTTATTATACCTTTTTCCTACCACTCACAAAGGCCTTAAACCAGGCTTATACATTCTAGGAAAAAGTGCACAAGAGTCTTTTGGAACTCTGACCATCTCCACAGGAGAAAACACACACACACACACACACACACACACACACACACACACACACATGCCCGCAAGCATGCACGCACACCCTAAAAATACTGCCATTATTGTGGTCAAAGTTCCCAAAGAACTATCCTAATTATGGTGGTGGTTACCTGCCAAAACTTACAGAACTAAACACTAAAAAAGGGTAAATTTTTATTGTACCTAAATTATACCCTGATAAACCTGAGTTTTTTAAAAAAAAACCCTCAAGAGAAAAACCAAACTGTATCTGTAACACAAAAATGAGATCTCCCAAAACTAAAAATAAATTAAGATAGATGAAAAACAATGTAAGTTGGAAGAGAAAGTTGAGGATATCGCTCAGAATATAGGGTAAAAAAAATAAAGGAAAAGAATCAGAAAACAGGCTTACAGGGACCAACATTCAAATAAAAGGAATTTAAGAAAGAATACTTGGAGGGCTGGGGATGTAGTTCAGTGGCGCCACACCTGCCTGGCAAGCACAAAGTCCTGACTTATTCTCCCAGTACCACACACACAGCAAAGAAAGAAAGTTAGAAAGATAGTAGGAATAAAGAATCAGAAAACAGGCTTACAGGGACCAACATTCAAATAAAAGGAATTTAAGAAAGAATACTTGGAGGGCTGGGGATGTAGTTCAGTGGCGCCACACCTGCCTGGCAAGCACAAAGTCCTGACTTGGATTCCCAGTACCACACACACAGCAAAGAAAGAAAGTTAGAAAGAAATAGTAGGAAAAAAAAAAAAAAAGAGAGAAATCAATGACAAAATTTAAGAAAACGACATAAGGTTGAAGGACATGAATTTCCAGAGGGAAAGGATACACTATGGGCTTCATGATGGATACAAATGACCTACAAGGCACATTACTGTCAAATTTCAGAGCACTAGAAAAAGCTAAAGAAGAAACTACACAAATAACACAAGACAATAAACCCTAAGATTCAAACTGGGCCATATATAAATGATAATGATACAGAGCAATCTTCAAATTCTCAGTCAACTTGCCAGGCAGGATGGCACACGCCTGTAATCCCAGTACTCAGGAGGCTGTAGCAGGAAGATTCCCATGAATTCAAGGCGAGCCTGGCTATAAAGTGAGTTCAAGGCCAGGCTGAACTACAAGGCAAAGTCCTATCTCAAACAAAACAAAAAAACTCAAGTCGATTCAAAAGTTTTATCTAGTCAAATTGTCAATCATATGTGAGTGTAGGAGGATATAGGCAGAAATTTGAAGTTCAAAAATATTTCTTCACAGCATGCTAATAAAACTAGGGAAAACAAAACCAGTTAAGAATCTATGAATGGCTACGAAGAAAGATCTCAAGATGGAGGCTGTGCACCAACAGAGGACAACTATTCTATACTAGAGTAGTTAGCAGGCTTAGGCAAGAAGTCTCCACAAAAATGAAACTGATTTTTAATAAACATCTGGTGTTCATCAGAGAGGAGACAGAAACAACTGGGAGACAGAAGAATGTGGCACATTTTTCAAGTGCTAAAACTTTAAAAAAAAACTGGCAACCCATAATCCTATGTAAAGAGAAAACAGTCTTCAGGAATGAAGGGGAAACCAAGACATTCTCAAATAAAAGAAAATTAATACTCCTGGTCATGAGCAGACCTATTCTAAAACAGTGGCAAAAGGAAGCTCCCTTTAGCCAAACAAAACAAAACAATAAAGAATCTTAAAACATCAGAGAGACAGAAAATGGTTACATGAAAATGTAGGTAAATGCAATGGATTTTCATTCTCAAGATTTCTAAATTATTTTTGATGGCTGAACCATAATTTATGCCATGGTTCACATGTAGCACCAGGAGTGGTGGGTCATGACTGTATTCCCAGCACTCAGGAGGTGGAGACAGGAGGATGACTATGAGTTTGAGGCCGGCCTGGGCACATAGTGAGTTCAAGGCCAGGTAGAATTACAGACCAAGACCCTGTCTCAAAAAAACAAAACAAAAAAATCCCAGAAAAAACAAAATATATGTAGAAAAAGTATTTATACCAAATAACACAGGTAAGACATACACAAAACAAAACCAGATAAGACTAAGAGGAAAAACAGAGCTCAATGTGGTGGCGCATACCTGTCCAGGCCAGTATTTTCAGCTCTTGGAAGGCTGAAGCAAGACTGCCATGAGTTCAGGGCAAGCCTGGGCTACCTAGCTGGTTCAATGCCAGCTTGAATTACAACGTGAGACCCTGTCTAAAAAACTAATTAATGGAAAAATAGAAAAATTCACAATACACAGAGACTTCAATATCCTTTTCTCAACAACTGATAGAACACCTCAACAGATATTAGCAAGATTAGAGAACTTAACATCATCATATCAATAAGATCAAGTCATAGGGGAAGGGTAATAAGGGAAAAGAAAAAAATGTGAGATAGAGAAAAGATGGAAATAAAGTGCTTGTACATGGGGAGGGGAGAGGGGGTGAAGAGAGGGCAGGGACAAGGGAAAAAATGAGAACCAAGACCTGTCATGTAGAGGTACAAGATCCCAACAATGAATGTAACTGTACTGTATCCCTAAATACACAAGGGAAAAGATGAGAACCAAGACCTGTCATGTAGAGGTACAAGATCCCAACAATGAATGTAACTGTACTGTATCCCTAAAATGTACCAATAAACTCAATTAAAGTTGAAAAATGAACAAGTAAAAAAAAAAAAAGATCAAGTCAGATTGATCCCCAGTACTGCAAAAACAAAACAAAAGATCAAGTCAGAGTTTGTAGAAAGAACACTCCCCTCAACAACAAAATACATATTATTTTCAGATACCACAGAACATATAACAAGTTAGGGCATATCCTGGGCTGTAAAATAAATAAATAAATAAAATAAAAATATACATTCACATACACACACAAAAAAAGAAAAACAACAAATTTATTTCTGTAGATAATTTATTTCAAATTACAACAATAAAATGCATATATTAAGACTTGAGACCTCGCAATTTCGAGGGAAGGGACAGAACCACTGAGCTAAATGCCTGGCCCGATAAGAGGATGATTCTTAACAGGCCAGGCTCTCACCTGAAGAATCCAGAAAAAAATGTTATGGCTTAGATTCAAAAGGTTCCCCAAAAGTCTCATACATTCAGAGATAGGGCTTTCAAAAGGCGATGGAATCATAGCAGTGCTATACTTATCAGCTGATTAATCTACTAATAAGTTCATAGCTAAATGGGTTTCAGACAGTGGGGCCCAGATGGAGGTGGCTGGTCACAGGGGGCATGCGTTTGGAGGGTTTATCTCTTGCTCTGGGCTTTCGCTCTCTCTGCTTCCAGTTGCTAAGAGGTGAATGTCTTTCCTCTGCTAGGCCCTTTTATTATACTGCTTCTGCAGTGCAACAAGCATGAACCAAACCCTCTTAAGCCATGAGCCAAAGTACACCTCTCTTCCTTTTAAGTTGCAGATGTCAACTATTTTGTTCCACTGACTAACTTTTTTGGGGTGGGGGGACCAGGGATCAATCTCAGGACCTTGCACTTGCCAGGCAGGTGGTAGAACCACTGAGCTAAATCCCCAGCCCAGAAAGTGACTTTTTAAATATAGAACTATTTTCCCCCCCAGTATTAGAGATTGAACTCAGGACCTTGCACTTATAAGGCAGGTGTGGTGCTAAATCTCTGGCCTGTAGAAAGTGGTTAATTTAAAAAAGAGCAAAACAAATCAAAGCAGAAAGGAAATGAGAACAGAAATCAAGGAAACTGAAGAACGGGAGGAAAATACCATCAAAACAGAACCAGTTCATAGAAAGATCAAAAAAATTGACCAAGCTCTAGGGAAACTGACAAAAATGAGAAGACACAAATTCCTAGTATCAAGAATCCACTGGAGATATCACTGTAGACACTGCAGGCACTGAAAGGGCGATACAATTACTGTACAAACCTAAGTTTTAAAGGAAGTGGGCTAATTTCTCTAAAACCTACCACAAACTACTAAATCTAGATTATTTAAATAGCCCTATAACTACTAAGAAAATGGACTGTTTATTTTTAAATTTTCAGAGCTAGGGAATGAACCCAGGGGATAGACATTTGCTGCTCCACTCACTGAGCTATATCCCAGCCTCTGAATTTGTAATTTTAAAACTACCTTTTAGTTACTTTTCTCTCATTGCTGAGACAAAATATCTGACACCCAAAGTTAAAGGAGGAAAGGTTTATTTAGCTCATAGTTTGTAGAGATTTCAGTCCATTAACTGGCTGGCTGCAAGGCAGGGTGGCTTGACAGAAGGGCATCACAGAGGAACCAGCTTATAGAAAGCAAAAGCAACAAGGAAGCTTAACAGCATCTTTCTGTCCCTTTTATTTTATCCAGAATATTTACAGTGGGGGGCTCTCACACCCTTAATCTTAGTGCCCTCAAGCCTAGCAATGCACCATGAGTCAATCCCAGGATCACACACTCAGGATCCAGCCATGTCAGAAAAAGCCCTACCCTATGACCACATGAGGCTTTGGGGGAACATCTAAACACAAGCCAAAGCACTATCTAAATAGAAATCTCTAAACTGACATGATTTCCCTGGAAAATTAAACAGAACATTAAAAAAAATGAACAAGTATTTTACAATATAGCATCTTTTCTTTTTTTAATTTTATAGTATTTTTATTTTTGTTTGTTTGTACCTGGGAATTGAACTTGGGAATTTGAGCTTGGCAGGCAGGCAGCAGCACCACTGAGATAAACCCCCGGCCCTATATAGTATCTTTTCAAGAAAATAGAAAGGCAAGAAAGATTTCCCAGGTTATTTTATGAATTATCCTGATAAAAAATTATCCTGATAAAAAAACACAAGAAAGAGATAGAACTACAGACTGTTATCTTTCAAAGATATAAATCAGCTGGGCATAATGATACACGCCTACAACCCCAGAACTCCAGTGGCTGAGGATGGAGGATTGCCACAAGTCTGAGGCTACAGTGTGAGACCTTGTCTCAAAAAAAAAAAAAACTCTTAAAATATTAGCAAATGAAAGTCAATAATTCAAAAAAGGAATTATATACTATGACCAAATAGGAATTATTTCAAGTTTACAACACTGGTTCTACACATTTGAAAATCTGTTATCAATAGACTAAAGAAAAATTACATGATCATATCAACTGATGCAGGAAAAAGCTTCTGACAGAATTCAATACCCATTCACGATAAATAATTTTAGAAAAATATAAATAACGAAGAAGTTCCTAAACTCAATTTAAAAATACTAAATAGGTGTTAGCACACGGAATCCAGCAGAGGTAATGGCACAAACTCAGTGGGCTCTGAAATTCTGATGCGAGCACATGCCTTCAGGGTCTTGCTATGTCACAGTTGCCCAGGCTGGACTCAGACTTGTGATCCTCCTGCCTTAATCTTGTAGAGTGCAGGGATTACAAGTGTGCACCACCATGCCCAGCACCCAGACTCTTTTTTAATATGCTACTTGGAATTCTAGAAGTTAAGTCCTCTCAGGTTGTGACAGTTAACTGATTGTGTAAGACTTGAGTAAGAAGTGCCCAACTAAATTGAATTAGCATAGTTCTGGGTATGGCTGAAGGGACTTACTGAAGACAGAAGACCCACATTGGGTGTGAGTGACAGCAACCAGTAGGCTTGCTGCCTAAATAGAATAAAAGGGAAATGAAGAAGGAAGGCTAGCTTCTATTTCTTCAGAGGAGCTCCAGTCTTTGCCCTCAACTTGGACATCTCCTGGCTTTTAGGTCAGACTCTTCAGCCATCTAGTGCAGACACTTCTACCTCCTAATACAGAACTCACAAGGGACCCTACAAAGAGCTTCAGGCTTTCAACTGGATTCTTTGGATCTCCAGCACACAAACACAGACGTTTTACACTTTTCCACATCTGATTCTGAGGGAAACCATTATAATAAAAACATGGAAGCTACACTAAGGTGGTTAGAAGTGGACTTGAAATAAATCAAAGAAACCTTAAGCAGTACTCAACAAGACCCACTTGGGAGACAGTCCAGGAACAAACAAGATTAAGGAGGAAGAACTTTTGGGATTCCCATGGACCCTGCTGAGGCAGAGTGAATTCAGCAAACTTTATAAAGGAGCATATCATAGTGGCCATAAAAATATTCAACAAGCTCTAGACCAAATGCATTGGAAAAGTGAAAGAACATTTCTACAGAGACCAGTGCCTTGAAGAAATCTCATTCCCCCAACAACCTACATATATGTGAGGTCTGCATTGTTGAAACAGGGAGTTTGCCTCAATTTTCCATGGTCACTGAGTACTGTGAGTGCAGTACCCTGAAGGAAGTATTGGATAAGGAAAGGGATCTCAGCCTGGGTTTGTGTGTCCTCCTGCTCCTGGGAGCAGCTAAAGGATTGTACAGGTTACACCACTGCAAAGCCCTACCACTGCACAGAAACAGTAGCAGCTCCAGTTTCCTGGTCACTGCAGGCTACGAAGTGAAGCTTACAGGATTTGAGATGAGAGAAACACAGACTTCCATCAGTCAGAAAACTAAGGGAATAGAACAGTCAAATCCTACAGAGTATTTCTCACCCCAGAATCTGGAAAATCTGCTTTGTGAAAAGGACACTATAGCTAAAATATACAGCTTTGGAATTGTCCTCTGGGAAATCGCCACTGGGAAGATCCCATAAGGCTGGGCTTTTAAGGAGATCTGCCAGCTGGTGTTCAAGAACCCACAGCAGGATTTGTTGAGAGAAGACTACCCTCCCCAGCTGTAGGAGGTCACTGATGAGTTCAGGGCCTCTGAGGCCCTCTGGGCAGCCCTCTGGGGACGAAATTCTGGAGAAAACTGTCGACTTTTGCTGCGTAGCATGTAAAAACCTGAAGCAAAGAGTACTGGACAAGAGGCTCAAAGAAACACAAACAGGACATCTCTGACTTGAAATTTTAATAAGTGATCTGCTGTGACCACACCTCTTGGCAATGCAACTTTGCAGCTCCTCCTATTTAGCAATGGAGTCTCAGCCAGACCTGGTGGTTCCTCCTGCTTTCGGTCCCAGCATGCAGGAGACTGAGACAGGAGGAGCACCAAGAGTCTGAGGCCAACCTGGGCTACATATGAGTTTAACAGTTCAAATGTGATATATTTGTATGGAACATTATTCAGCAATAGAAAGAAATAAGTACTGATAAATCTACAAGATGTGTGAAAATCATGATAAGTCAAAGGTCCCAGACACAAAAGACTACATCTTATCACATGAATTCCATCAATGTGAAATGTCTGTAAAAAGTGAAATTTATAGACAGAAAGTAGATTCATGTTTGCCATAGGCTGGGATGAGAATAACTGCTTGTTTGCACAATGTTTTCTTTTGGGGTGGTGGAAATGTTCTAAAATTATACTGAAGATGACTGTACAAGTCTATACATTCATATATTCAGTAAATAAAAACAGGTGAATTTTCTGGCATGTACATTGTGCTTCAATAAAGCTTTTAAAAAGTAAAGGAAATTATCAAAACTGAAATGATAAACCCCTGCTGCAAAGGATTTAAAAGCTACAAATTCTATTTTATTCTTATCTCATACATTTGGTAGCATATTTCTTGGGCAATAATAAAGAATTATTCATTTTCCCCCAAGAGCACTTAACAGTGTTACTGAAACTAATTTAAAGCTCTTTATGTGAATTGAAGTTCTATCTGATAATGTACAAAAAGAAGCTGAAATGTTATTAAGAAGAAGCTGAAGACAGTGATTATTAGACACTGGAAAGGATAATCTTTTAATGAAAAAAGAACATAACAAATACCATCCTAAGAAAGTAAAACAAGGACCAGGAGATTGAGAAGGGAACTGACATACTTACTTTACTTGTATTCTGAACTTTAGATATTGTGTACATTTTCTTGAAGATAACATGTTTTATGAGTATTTTTCTTGAGAAAAATAGTGGCATACAGAAGGAACTAAAGGCATTTTCTTCTTATATGGCAGCTATCTCCTATTATATGAATAATAAGGCTCTACTCATACAATTCATTCCAACAGTTGCCAACTCATGAACTTAAAGAGCTGTAAGTGTTCAGATACTCCCTACCTACTTATAATAGCATGAAAAACTCATCATACAGGAATGAAACATGTCTAGACTTTTGTCTTCAGTTATAGCTCAAGATCAGGTTAACTTAAGCTTTCTTTTTACATGAACATACTACAGTAAATAGGGGCTATTTACTTTGTATTTAATTTTGCAATATCACCAGGCAATTTCTTCTTGAAAAACAACATGATGGTCTATGAAGACTCATTCTCAAGTTACCATCAGACTCACTCCCATTATTATAGAGGGAGAGCCTTGAAGATGAAAACAATAAATTACTATTATAATAATAAAACATACAAGTAAGAAATAAAGAGATTTTCAAATTTAAAGCTCAGCTAAATTTTAAATTTAACCCGGGGAGATAAGGTAACTCATCAAAATACACTTACTAGTTAGCAGCACAGCCTATGGCATAGAATCTGTGCCACTCTGCCAAGTCTCTGTTTTCATTAACTAAATCAATTCATTATTTTTAATCCCGAGTAACCAAACATTAAAAAGGATATTCAAGCCAAATGAGATGAGAGTAAATTTTCTCAGAAAATGACAAGAAGACCATAAGCTACATGCTATCTCCCATTCTTCACTGATTTTGAGTAGTTTTTCTTCTCTTTTGAGGTCTATCAGGAGATTTTCAGGGCTTAAAGACAAATCACATGAGTCAGCTAAAATCCAAAAACAAAGGAAACAAAGGAAAGGAAAAACATGGACTTTTTTCCTTCAAGATTTTTAGTGAAAGGAATAGGAAAAAAAAATCATTGGGGCTCAGTAATATTGACTTCTTCCTAACTTCACCTGCCTGGTTCTCACTAGCTACAATACTAGTATCTGTGGGGCTTATATTTAATAATAAAATCTAGATCAGGTCTAAAAACAAGGCGATAAAAGAATTGAGAAGGTGAAGACTGATTCACATAGTATCTATCAGTTATTACAACGGAATACTTAAAACACTATTTTCTATATTCAGGCAGCCAAGGCAGGAGAGCTCTATGAGTTCAAGGCCAGTGTGGGATACCTAGTGAGTTCAATGCCAGCCTGAACTATACAGGGAGACCTTGTCTCAGGAAAACCCCCCAAAACAAAACAAAATCAGAATAATATTTTTAAATAATGCTTTTGAAAAATGGAAGAAGGTTTAAAAAAATACTTTTGGGCGGGGTGAACCGGGAACTAAATTCCAGGCTTCACATGCTAGGTAAGCACTCTACAACTGAGCTACAGTGCCAGCCCGTTTTATTTATTTTTTATTTTGAGGCAGTCTTCCTAAGTTGCCCAGGATGACCACAAATTTGTGATCCTCTTGCCTCAACCTCCCCCTGCACACATGAGGCTGTGAGTTGCATCTCTAGCACTGCAAATAAAACAAAAATTTTAATAGCCAGGTGTGGTGTATGCGTGCAGTCACAGCACCCAGGACAGGTTGAGGCCAGTGAACTGCCAGTCCACACAAGTTCAAGATTAGTCAGGGAAACACAGCGAGACCCTGCCTCACCCATCCCCCAAAACCTCCATCAACTCTATAAGCAAAAGCAAAAATAGACAAATGGAATTACATCAAATTGAAAAATTCTTCACAACACAGGAAAAAATCATCAGTGAACAACCTATAAAATGAAAGAAAATATTTGCAAACTATTCATTTAACAAGAATTAATAATTAGATGTGTATGCCTGTAATTCCAGCACTCAGGAGGCAGAGGCAGGAGAACTGCCATGGGTTTGAGGCCAGCCCGGGCTACAGAGTGATTTCCAGGCCCCCGTCTGAACTACATCATGAGACCCTGTCTCACACACACACACAAACACACACACATAAATTAGAATATAAAAGGAATTCAAAATCTCAAAAACTAAAGCCTGATGAAACAGACATTTCTCCAAGGGCAAACAAATGGTCAATAAGTATATGAAAAATGTTCAACATCATTAAAAATCAAAGAAATGCAAATTAAAACCACAATGAGGGCCAGGGATTTAGCTCAGTGGCACCACCGCCTTCCTCAAAAGCTCAAGGCCCAGAGTTCAATCCCCAGTATAAAAAAAGTCACAAGATTATCATTTCAGTCCAGTAAGAATGACTATTGTCAAAAACACTAAAGATAACAAGGCTGGCAAGAATTTGGAGAGAAGGCAACCCTAGCACACAGCTGATGGTAAAGTAAATTAGTATAGCTGTTATAGAAAACAGTATACAGGTTCTTGAACTTAAAAATAGCCAGGGATTTAGTTCAGTGGCACCTGCCTTGCAAACACAAGGTCCTGAGTTTGATCCCCAATACCCAATCAATCAATCAATCAATAAAATTAAAAATACAACTACCATATGATTCAGTTACCCACTACTGGGTAAAGAATATGAAATCTGCACTCCTGCATTTATTACAGTACTATTCCACAATAGCTGATAGAAAATAAAAACAGAAATAAAATAGAAATAACCTGTGTCTATTAGCTGATGAACAGATGATTAAATAGAAATAGCCTGTGTCTATTAGCTGATGAACAGATGATTGGTATATATGTGTATATATATATATATATATATACACACACACACACACAATGGAATATTATACAGCCATAAAAATGGAATCTTGTCATTTGTGATAACACAGATGGAACTGGAGATCAGAATATGAAATAAGTCAGGCACAGAAAGAAAAGTACTGCACAATCTCCTCCATATGTAGGACCTAAAAAACTGATCTCATAAAAATTTAAAGTAGAGGGGTGGGGATTTAGTTCAGTGGAACCAAGCCTACCAGGCAGGCACAAAAAAAAAAAAAAAAAAAAAAAAAAAAAATTGAGAGTAGAATGGTGGCTAATAGAGGTCAGGCAGGGTTAGGTAGGGAAAGGTTGATCAGTGGGTATTAAGAGAGGAGTAAGAAATTCTGGTGTATTATTGCATAACAGGACAACTATGGATAACAATTATATACTATATATTTCAAAAGGCTAGAAGAAAGAATTCTGAAACCTTCCGCCAAAAGGAAAGATAAATGCCTGAGGAGACACATTACGTTTAAACCAACTTCAACATTACACAATGTTTAAATGAATCAAACTGTCAACAACAATATGTATATTTTCATGCTTTTATGTATCAACTAAAATAAACTTTAAAATTAAAAAGCTCTATCAAAACATTGACTGTAGTTAACTTCTGGTGAAATTATGGGTGATTTGTTTCACTCATTTACAGGTTCATTTATCTTTTGTTTGTTTGTTTGTTTGTTTGAGACAGAGTCTCACTATGTAGTTGAGACTGATCTGGAACTCACTATGTAGCTCAGGCTGGTCTCAAACTCACAGAGATTCTCCTGCCTCAGCCTCCTGGGTTCTGGGATTAAAGGCATGAGCCACCACATCCAGCTTCAGGTTCATTTATTTTCTACAATGAACATGAATATTTCTATAGACTAAAGATACAAACATTTTAACTTAATGAGATTATCATGTTATAAAGTTGCTTATAGGACCACGGATTTAGCTACCTGCCTCGCAAGTGCAAGAACCTGAGTTCAACCCACAGTAAAACAAAGGAAGAAAGGAAGGAAGGAAGGAAGGAAGGAAGGAAGGAAGGAAGGAAGGAAGGAAGGAAGGGTGGGTCACTTATATAGCTCTCTTATAGAAAAAAGTAAAAACAAAATTAAAAAAAAGGGAAATGGTGACCATAATATTTCATAAAAACAACCTATTTCAACTTTCCCAAAGTTAGGACAACTTCAATTCTTTTTTTTTTTTTTTTTTTTTTTTTTT